GGAAACGGAGGTGGGAGTGGCGAGCGAGTGGGCAGATTCTCCGCGAGTTTGCTTTAACTCTTGTTTTTCATTCGCGATAGTTCGCTACGTTGCTTCTGCTTGTTGTGGCCTTCGTGCAGCCTGCCCAGCTTGCGTCAGTGTCTGCTTCGGCTTGATTTAGCATTTGCTGCGGCCTGTTGGAGCACGCGGTGCCCATAGTCGAAATCTACGGGGAAACTGTCGTGCGTGTGTGTGCAAGAGTCAGACAGTCAGTCACTCACCTGCTGCAGTTGGCTGAAGACATTGGGAAAGTTGCCGTAGGGGAATTCGCCAGTGGCCAGCTCGAGCAGGGTCAGGCCCAAGGACCAGACGTCGGACTGGATGCGGAAGCCCTGCGTGCCCTGCAGCGGATCGATGCGCTCCGGGGCAAGGTAGTTATGGGTGCCGATGTTGCTCTTAGCCAGGGAGTTGGTTAGTTCACCGGAAATGCCAAAATCACAGACCTAGACAAACAGACAAAAACAACAGAGCGCGGAGGCAGATAAGTAGCTGCTGGTAACCACAAGGGGAAACGCGCAGTTTAACGGTTCACCAACGGCTACGGAAAGGTTGGCGGCTACCTCTACACACTCTAAAATTGACGGGGAGTAGGGGGTGGGGTGGGCGGGTGTGGTTCGCCAGACAAAGAGCTAGCCGTAGTGGGAATGCAAAAAAAAACAAAGTCACAAATGGAGGGAAAAGAAAACGGCTCAGACCAAACAAATACCCAGTCATAATAAAAAGCAAGCTCCCAGTACATACAAACAAAATAAGAGTGAATTAAAAAACACTGAAGTAAAACGATGCTGTTGAGCCGCTGGCAATATGTCCACACAGCTTAACTGGGCAAGCACTCGAATAGCCATTTTTGGTTGATTGGTCATTAGCAGCTGGCGCGGTAGGGGAATCTCGAGTTAACTGGTGTCCGATTACCACCAAGGAAAATCACCCGACGTACTTGCAACGGAAAAAGGACATTCAAGCTGGGCTAAAAGCCTAAGGAATATGAAGGCGTAGTTTGGCGTTTATTATTACTGTTACCAATATCCATCTCGACATTATCCCCACCCCAGTATCGCCTTTTGGATCTAATTCTGCCAATTTTACGCGGGGTAGTTAGACTCGGAACAAAATAAACATGCTAGGGTCCTTAGTCGTGAATATGCAGAACGGTGGTAGCAACTCCGCGTCCTATAAAACGGTAGGAAGGAGTTCGGTGCGCATGCTAACGATTGAGGAGGCTACGGCCAATGCCCCAGAGCTGAGATGGAGTGGAGAGATGAAGGCGGGAGGTTATGATGGACGTTCGGTAGGGCTGGACAAACATTGACAGAGTACACGGCGCACCGTGGGGACGGGATTCCCAGGATTTCAGAAGATGCAATATTCTGGTAATGCCATCCCCACTACAGCATTAGGTCTCAAGAAACCCTTGGGAGTGTATGGATGGATCATGCGGATAACTTTCTCATCGTTACCAT